CTGTCGCCCAGGCTAGGCTGCTGTGCGGGGAGGCACAGAGCATGGGAGGGGTCTGAATCAGCCTCGCATTCTGCCGTGACGCTGGGGTTGGGGTGGGAGTGGAGTGGGGGTTGGGGATCTAAGACACTGGCTGGGGTCTTGGGGCTGTGGTGGCCTCCTGGTGGCTGGCCACCCAGGCCTGTGCTTAGTGGAGGCTGCGACCTGGTGACGGTGAAACAGGATAGCTGCCTGAGCATCCCGTCAGGGGAATGGCGGTTCTCTGGCATCACCTCGGGGCCTTGTCCAAGCTTGGATTTCCCCAGGTTCAGGGTGAGACCTGGCAACCGTCTCTGACAAGTTCTGGGTGATGTGGGAATAGAAAAATAGGCTCATCCTCTGAAAACTGCTGCTGAAGGGACAGACTCTTTGGTGTGATGTGGCCAGGGACGTGGGCTCAGGGACCAGATGTCCCAGGTTAGGCGTCTCTGTCACTCTGGACCCACCCTGCCTGGCCGGCAGCAGCCTCTGCAGGCCGGAGCACTGCCACGATGCTCCAGGCACGCACGGGAGGGACAGGGGTCGACACAACCGTCACCAGACGGCTACAGTCGGGGGGGGGGACTCGGGGTGTTGGTAAAGGCCAGCAGCTCCACAGGACTTTGGGAGAGAACGTGAGCACCCCAGGAAGGGCAGCCACCTTGTCAGGGTAGACGTGGCCCGGGCATGGGCAGATAGAACCCAGTGAGGTGGGGGACGTTGCGATAAAGCCAGGCAGGGTGTGGGTGGTGGTGGGGGGCTGAGCCCTGTGCTGGGCTGAGCTGGGCGGAGTCCCAGAGCCACCCCGAGTCGCTGCCACATGCGTGCCCATGTCCCAGGGCTGTCTGAAGCTGGGTGTCCTGCTGGGGGCCGTCTCTCTCATTCATGGAAGAAATGAATAAATAAACTTTCAAAAAACCCCAAAAGGCAAAGGGGAGAGGAGTATTACTAGTTGTGGAGTAGAAAGGGGCGCTAGAGAGGAGACCCTTCCCGGGGAACCTGGCAGTGCCTTGGTCAGCTCAGAGTTAGGAGGTGACTTTTTTTTTTTTTTTGAGAGATTTTCACTGTAGGGCGCGTGTGCTCGCCAGACAGACAGAGAGAGACAGAGACAGAAAGCGAGAAATCACCCCCCAGGGGGGATGGTCACGCCGCAATCCCTTCTCCTCCACTCTCCTCTCGGGATCTTGGGCACGCACGCACACGTGCCCGGCGTGAGTTTTAAGCCACCAGGTCCGGGACGCGAACTGCGGTTGACTATGTGGGAGTCCAGCGACATAGCCATTACGCTAACTGCTGGTTCCCAGGAGGTGACTTTTTAAAGTTAGGTAGGATTCATGCACTCTCTGGAACAAGACGGAGAGGAAGAGAGAAAATGAGAGCTCCCGGAGAATGGCCCAGCACAATCCCCTCTCCTCCTCCTCTCAGGGCTTGGGGCATGCACGCACTCACACCTGCTGTGTTTCTAAAGCCCCGGCTCCAGGCCACGAACCACACTGCAGCGTGTGGGGTCCAGACCCTTAATCACTGTGCCACTGGCTGGCCTGTGGGGACTTCTTATTCCCCTGGCCCGCTTCCTGATGGCCGGCAAAGTGACATGATGTGTCACTCATGGGCTCGTAGTCCTTAGCAAGGAATGCTAGCAAAATGACCAATTCCTGTCCAGTCCGCACTTACTGAGTGTTAGCCATCTTTCCTGCCCAAAGGCAACTCGGAAGGAGTTTTTTCTTCAGAAGACCCAGGACGACATAAAGAGTAAGCCAAGCATCCTTTTTTATTTCTCTTACTTTTCTCTCAGGGGAATGACCATGTCTCTGTCTTTATATTCTCAGTAACCATTGAAAACAAAATGGCAGGGCTCTCTCTGTCATCGGGACAATTCAAACAGAACTTCTCTACGGATAAACAGTAATTCATGGGTTAATTTCCATAAATTATGAAGTAGTCAAGTAAATACAGATTTCTTCACCAAATAAGCTTCCCAGTCAAAATAATTTTGGTATTATTTGAACAACCTTTCCTGGTGTTTGGACATTTTCGGTATAGAGTTAATTCTGTTATTAGTGCTGACTTTAGGTTTTTAGAAGCACTTATGCAGCGAATCTCAGTAATTAAGTTTCTGGCCTATCTCTAGGGATTTTTTTAAAAAGACCTCCAGGGGGCAGCGTGGAACCACGATGCACGCGACTGTCCGCTCTGTTCCAACACAGGTGACTCCCGGAACCTCGGATTGTTCTCTGCTCTCGGATTAACTGTAGGCACGGGCTGGGCTTCCGGGCTTCCGTGGGCTGAAGTTGTTGAGATGCTGTTAAGGCCCGCGGAAGTTGTTCAGTTACAGCGCCCTGGTCAATAGCAAGTGATACCTGCACATAGGGAAAAATCTAAATTCTCGAGTAACCGAAACTTGCCTTTCTTGTAATTAAAAACTTCCAAGTATCTACTCAATCAAATCAAACCACACACGATGTGCAGAGTCAAAGGCAAAAGCACGCCTGTGTCTTTACCCCCTTCCACCCTGGACCAGTGCGTGCGGCTCTCCGCAGTCTGGAACTCACGCAGACCTAACCGCACACACGGAAGCGTCTAGGCTTACACACGAGCCGCGAGGGCCACAGGCTCCCCACCTCGGCTTTGCTTCACTCCAAGGCCGTCGCTCGCTGTTCCTCCCTGTCCGCCCACCGTGAGCCGCGCCAACTCCGAGCTCTCTATGATTCCTCGGTCCGGGGTTCTCTTCCCGGGGCAGGGGGAGTCCATGGAGGATGCGCAGCGTGACCCAGCGCCCGGGGGTGTCGGAGAGCCTGGGGTGTAACCTCCAGCCTCCTGTGATAAAATCTGGCAGCAGGCAGCACCCCGTCCGCAAGCCACTGACGCAACCCGTGTCTGCAGGAACGGTCCCCGGAGAGAGGCAGTCCCGCGCTGACCACTTAGCACTGGGGCCACTTCTGTGATTTGTTTCAGAAATTCATGCCCCTGTCGTAAGGCACCCTTCCAGACAGGGGTCACAGCCGTTTTCGTCAAATTCTCCGCCATTCTCCTCTAGCAAGGAGACTTGATTGACCTGTGTTGAGGTTACGGATGAATCTTTGGGGGTTACTAGAGGGTGTTTACATGTTGGCCTTCACCGGTCTCTTTTACCTGCTTGCGCGGTGCGTCTGTGTACTCTGTGAACACGGAAGTGGCCCTTAGTCTTCTGCGATTCGGCGTGGGGAATGGATGCTTTTTATTAATCCTATATTGAG